TGGACAATGGGTTATTTACACATTTTGGCTATTATGAATAATATAGCTATGAAATTTTGTTTACCAGCTTTTGTATAGATGTAGGTCTTCTCTTGCATAAACCTAGGAGTAGAATTACTAAATCATATGGTAACTCTATGTTTAACTTTTGGAGGAACTGTGAAACTGTTTTTCAAAGTGGCTATACCACTTCACATTCCTACCCACAGTGAATAATGCTTTCAATATCTCTAAATTCTTCCCTATCTTCTTACCTGAAAACTAGGAGAGCAAACTACATCCATGAAAGAAGAACATTACCAAAAGAAACCGCAGAAATGGGGCCAAACTTATTGATCCTGGGGCTTAGAAGGAAGGTCAAGGATAAATGCTTTCCATCATAGCCCAGACACTTCACCCTGGAACTTCTTAAAATCTGTTCTAGTTTCCCAAAATGAAAAGTTATAATAGATGTCTATTTACAGAAAAGAAAGAAAAAAATTTTAGAGAATATTTTGGATCATAGGTAATCTTATGCAGGCTTACGTTTTTATTTGAAGGATAAACAGCTATGTTTTCCTGAAAAAACCAGTAAATGGAAACCTATCTGAAATGAAAGCTAAGGCTATACCATATCCATAACTTTTGAACAACACAGGTCAGTTTTCCAACTTCAATAAAAATACTAAGTGGCAACAGTGCTTCTTACCCCAATTCTGGGTTAGCTGCATTTCTAATTGGCTTTTCAGAATAGTGCAGATTGGATGAAAATTTGACTCTTAAAGTCTGGAAAATAGATTCTATTTTGTCAAATATCTCCAAGCCGAAACTGGCCCGAAATCCACCTATATCTTTTTCATAATGACTTAGCAGCTAATTTCTAATTTTGAGAAACCAATAGCTATATCTAAGTTGACCATTTAAAATTAACAACCAATAAATGACTCGATCTCTTCAAATAGCTGCATCTAACATAAACAATATAGAGTACTATTAAACAATGTTAATTATGGTCTGGTGCCTAAACATCATTGGAACTTCAATTTTTTTATATCTGAGAACTGCTAACAATCACTGTAATAAAAAAAAAATCTGTAAATTTGGAATCCTTAAAGCACCCCATATGTCCTTTTAATCAATATCATCTGACACCAATCCAAGAAAATGGACTGCCAAAAGGTATAACCTCCTTACTATGAAAGACAGAAAAATCACAGAGAGAATATGAAGCTGTTCACTGTATGTGAGTGATTTACCTATAACTACTCATTTTGTCCACTCTATCAGCATCATTATAAAGAGTCTTTACTATTTATAATATACTCTCATTTCTTTTTTTCTAAGACAGGGTCTCTTTCTGTCAGCATGGCATGATCATAGTTCAATCCAGCTTTAAACTCCTGGGCTCAGGTGATCCTCCTGCCTTGCTTCCCGAGTAGTAGTTAGGACTACAGGCTTACGCCACAATGCCTGACTAATTTTTTCTCTTATTTGTTTTGTAGAGATAGGATTTCAGTATGTTGCCCAGGGTAGTCTCAAACTCATGACCTTGGTTGAGTGATCCTCTTGCTGCAACTTCCCAAACTGCTAGGTCAGGTGTGAGCCACCACACCTAGCCTCATTTCTTTAAAAACATGCAATATTAGATACAAAACAAATGCTTTATTATTTTCCTGGAAGATGAAATTAGGCTATGAGAGCTCCAAAGTGAGTTCAGTGATAAACAGTAAATAACTTACCAACTGGACTAGTAGAAACTCGCTGGGAAGGTGGTCTGAAGCCAGGTGCCTTAGAGTTGTCAGGGTGTACATTTTCTAAGTGTCCAAGTACAGAGTTACCCAAGAATGCTGACTGAACAGTGAAAGAGGCATCTGTAGCAACTCGTGAGGACAGCGGACCATCTCCCCAACCCTGGTTTGCTGGCACCTGACTGCTATCAAAAAGACTGCTGAAGTGATTAAAAAGTGTGGCTGGGCCAAATGTAGGTGGCAAAGATTTATTTGCTGGGTTTATGTGCATCTGAGAACCATTCATAATATTCATGGCTGAAGAAAGCTGTACTGCAGCCTGTGGGCCTTGAGGTCCTGTTAAAGGAACTGGATTTGTAACAAAGATAGACTGGGGATCTTGGTGTATAGTTGCATTTGGTACCACTGAGTAAAAAGAACCTCTAGGCTGCATTCGATGAGAAACTCGAGGTGCTGGTACAGCTAACTGAGGTAAATTACTGGTATCCTGATTATCAGTAGCAACCAATCTGGGTGATGATAAAGTCAATGGAGCAGGCTCTGAATTAGATGCAAAAGGCATTGACATAGGACTTAAATCAGACACATTTGATGGCTGGGCTTCCTCCTGTGTGTTACTAGAGGGAGGAGTGGGACTACTGGATGGGTGAGTTTCTGGAGCTCCTGGGGTATTGCTGGCAGAGCTACTGCAACTATTTGCAGTTGAAGATGAGATACCTAGGTTTGCCACAGGCTGGTCCTGTGTGGACACTTTATCTTTGGTGGGTGGTATGGCAGAGAAAGACTCCATCTTTTGTGAAGAAAGCTGTGCTTGAGTTGTACTTGCAGGTAGAAATGTGGCAGGAACTTGCCCACCAGTGATAGGTGCAGTGGAGACAGAAGGCAAGGAACTGCAAGTGCTTGTCACAGAAGAAATCACTGTTGCTGGAGGACTTGTCTTAGGCACACAGGCAAACAACTGCTTTCTGACTGATGAAGGAGTCCGGGTATTAGTCACACACATTTGCTGACTGGCAGCAACTACAGAAGAGACAGTGATAGGACAACTGGCAGTAGCTAGTCCAGCAGACTCTGAGGGCAAAACAGTCCCATTCTGGTTAGGAAGACGGCCTGTATTATTATGCTTTGGAGAGTTACTTGTGTTGCCAGGATTCACAGGTCTCACTGGGAATGGTCCCCACGTGTTAGGAGAAGGCGAGAAGGTTCCTCCAAACTGGGCCATGGGTAACCGAGGATGCCGAATCTGTTGCATAGTTTGAGCAGCCAGCAAGGCAAAATGAGGGTGGGGATAAGCTAAGGGTAGAGAAACTGGGAAAGAAGATCGTACATTTGTTGGAACATTCTTATTAAGTTTGTTGGTAGGCTGGAACGTAGATAATGTTGCCGCCTGTGAAGTTACAAGAGCTGGAGCACCCAATGGAAATGCATTTTTACTGGAAGCTGCTGTGGTGCCTACTCCAGAAGAGAAGTTAGCATGAATGGATTTGGTGCTGGTAGGTGTTCTGATATGATTTTTAGGAATCAAGTCTTCTAGTTCCTTAGCGGGATCCTGAATAAGTGCATTGATGAGTTGAACTGCATATCTTGTTGATTCTGTACCACCCCTGGGGAGAAAACAGAAACAATATTAAAAACATAAAAAAAAAAATCCAGATAATGTTACAATCAAATACAATTCTCAACTGTACCATACCTAACCAAAATATGCTTCTTATAAAATACAATTTCTACTCAGAACTACCAAAATGCATTGTTCACAATTACCTTATTGTGATCATTCTCTCTCCATTCTTATCTTTTTGTTTGTCCACATCAATATGGGCACCAGTAACATCTTGTATTGCAGTGATATTGCATCCTCCTCTTCCCATTATCCTGGACACTACTGAGGCTGGAACAGATAATTTCTTTGACCTATAAAAAGAAGACTACACATGAGCTTATGAAATTAAATGTCTATGAATAGTAGATGTCTTTATTTAAAAAGATGTCTCAGTAAGTATGTTCATGGATAACCGTAGAATATTATTCAAACCCTAAAGAAGAAATTATTAAAATTCACAGTGCTGCAAAAGGAGTTTCTTTTTGTTGTTGTTATTTTTGCAATTGGTGCAGAAAGTTGTCACCACATTGGCCCTTTTCCAGAAATTGACCTCTTTTATAACATTGGATTTAAAGTTAAAAATTACATTGCCATTTTTTTTTTTTTTTT